CCTCCACTCGGTTACCCTTCGCGGTCGGCCCTCCTCACGGTCGATCCTTTCGCTTGGCCCCTTTCGCGATCAGCCCTCCTCTCGGTTGGTCCTCCAGCTCAGCCACCACCACGGTCGGTCATTCTCCTTGGCTTGGGAGGACCCTACCCATTTTCCTTCTTATTCCTTTCATTGGACTAAAGCTGCACTTGGGAATAAGGGATTACTGACATCGGTGGGCCCACAAAAGGTTTTGGCCCATGACTTAGAGCCCAATTCATGCTCCAAGTACTAAAACCCAGCACCCTTGAGAACCCAATGTTGAACCAAGCACCAATGGCATCTAAACACTTGTCAAATAGGGAACCAGCCACATAAGCAGACAAAGATCTGTAAAGTTATTACACCAATACATCAGCCATTAATGAGACCCTGGTAGCATTAAATGCCGCAGCGTTTTCACGTCGGAGAAAACAGGCTCATCGTGAACGAGGTGAGCTAAACCTTAGACTTACGGCTGACGAGACAACTGGGAAGGGACAAGGAAATGATGATGATAAAGATAAAAGGCTTCAAAAGAATGACATAGGCTAAGTTATCTCGGACTCCTCTCGTACATTATCTCTCTAGAAAAACATCCTTTGCCTTGAACTAACTTGATCGTCGGAGTGTCCGCTGGGGGACTTCCCCTCATTGGACCGTTTTTGTAAGTGTGTTCTGTGAACTCTAAGCCCAACAGACCTATCTGAAGTGTGGATCAACTTGGCCCATCCATCCTCCAAGTTTACAGTATCATCAGTAGGCATTTTGTTGCATTCTGGTTCTCGAAGTATGGATTATGTTGCATTATTATCCACAAAATATACAATCTGTAACATTTTTATCCTTAATTTTTTAATTTAATTTTTTTTAAATGAAGTTATGAAAATACCCTTCATTCCTTTATTAATTTTGAATGACCATAATGACAAGAAGTAAAGTGTAACAGTCTACCTATTTTGAGGACCAAAATGAAAAGTGAAAAAAATTAAAGACTAAATTGTAATAGGCTATATACTTTGGAGACACGTGTATATGTGATCATGGTTTCAAATTCCATAGTTGGTGACTATTCTTTCATTGATTGATTTTTTATTTTTTTTATTTTTCTCAGATAGCAGAGAGTGCCAAAAAAAGCTTGGGATATTAGTGATTGGAGATGAAGTTTATTACCATCTAGCTTTTGGGAGTAACCCTTTTGTGCCAATGGGAGTGTTTGGATCAATCACGCTTGGTCTTGTCGGGAAATATATTATTTTAATAATTTTTTAATTTTTTAGTTAAAATATGAGATTAAAAAAAAAATTATATTTGAAATCACTTTTTAATTTTTACAAAAAGATATGTAAAAAATAGAGATAAAATAAATCTTTAATTTTTTTGTACAAATTATTAACTTTTTAATTTTTTTAATAATTTTTAAACTTTTAGACTAAAATATTGAATTGCCAAACGTGAACCAGTTGGTTTGATTTTTTTAATATTGTTGGTATATTTATTAAAATAATAAATAATTATAGAGTCAAATGCACCAACAATTACGCTAGTTTAGTTTTAAATCTTAAAATTATATCAACTATATATAACCGGATATCTGATCATTAAAAAAAATATTGTGCGGGGGTGATTTCCGCACTATGAAGAAGGGTTAAACTTCGTGGATGAACAGCGTGCTTTGGAATTTAAGATCTGCACAAAATAACAAAATGTGAGGCTGCCCGACCGGGATTTGGTTGGAAACCCCTCCGATGGTAAAGTTAGGGACTCAGGGAGAGGAAGAAGAGAGAATACAAAGAGTGTGTATGTGTTAAGTGTGTAGATTTTCAGATCCCTTGAGAGTGAATAGTGTTCACCTTTTATAGGAGAAGGTTGTTTGTCGTTCAAGTCATTCTCTCTTCGCCATCTGTCCAATGTGTCTTATTCGTGGTCGTCTCCCATTGGAGGAGGACGACTACTCTACCTAACACTCAGGTGTAGGTCTGTTTTGTTTGTCTCATTAGCAGACATCTCTCATTGGAGGAGGACGACCACTCCGTTTGTCATTCAGATGCAGGTCTGTCATATATGCACCTTGTCCCTCTGCACCTCCATGTCTCCACGTTCTGTTCATACAGAGGGAGAGGAGCAGAGTTGTTTGTCTCTTGTGGGCCCAAGAAAGATCTTCAGTGAATTGGCCTTCTTTGAGTTGGCCTACTCTGGAATGGTTGTCCAACCAGGAGGTCCAATATGTTGCTCAGCCCACTTCGGAGTGGTTGTCTGTCCATCCAGGAGGTTCAACACGTTACTCAACTATTTTGGAGTGGTTGGTTGCCCGTTCAGGAGGTCCACCATGTTGCTCGACCCACTTTGGAGTGACATTCGTACATTGGGCCGAGCTCCTATGATTGTCTTGCTTCGAAGCAAGTGTTGGCCATAGGACCGAGGTCCAACCTAGCTCAACCTCGGGTGAGCATTGCATTGGGCCTAGCACCATGACTTGATTAATTTTTACCCATTTCAAATATATATCAATACAAGATCTCAACATATATATTATTAATATGGGTTGAGCTTCTCTCCAGATATAAACCCATGGAGCCCACCACGTATTGATTCGATCGTTTATTTTGTAGAATACTTCGTGAATATTATTCCTAAAAAAATTAGACCAATCTGATAATTTTAACATCTTCGCGTTTATCTAAAAAAATAAATTATCTATTTTTAAAAATACATTTATCACCTTTTTTTTTTACTTATAAATAAAAGTAATAAAATAAAAAAATAAAAAAAAAGATGCAATTATCAAATTAATTTAAATTTTTTTAACAATAATATAATCATAATATTCCATAAAATAAATTATTCAAATTATTAAACTAAACTGATGATAATACACCACACGTACAAGAAGTGGTATTGATATTTTAGGATGACATCTTGTTGAAGAGCTCTATGAAAGCCGGATTAGTGGTGCTGTAACCACCGTCGATCAACAGGTTGACCCCGCTCATATACTTAGCCTCCGTTTGGGAAGTGGGTTGGCTTTTTGACTTTTTGGCTTTTTTGGCTATATGAGCTTGGGGCTCAAAAGCCTGGTTTGGGAAGGACTTTTTGGCTTTTTTGACTTTTTAACTTTTTGGTGAGGTGTCATCCTGTTAAATTACCAAACTGCCCTTTTTGGCCTTTTTTTTTATTTTGGGTTTGGATTTCCCATATTTTGCTTAATTTATTTATTTATTTCTTTATTTTAATTTTGGGTTTGGATGTGGCATTTTTTGCTTAATTTTTTTTTTAATTTTTTTATTTTGGGTTTCAATTTGCCGTATTTTGCTTTTTTTAATTTTTTTTTTTGGGTTTGGATTTGGTGTATTTTTCGAACCATTTTTTTTTATTTTGGAAGTGGATTTGGCGTTTTTTGCTTTCATTGTTTTTTTTTTGTTTTAATTTTTTTATTTTGGGTTTGGATATGGCATATTTTGCTAAATTTTTTTTATTTTTTTAAATTTATGTTTATGTTTTTGTCTTTGTTTTTTTCTTTTTACATGAATTAGTTCTTTTTCTTTATTTTTATTGGTATAGAAGCACTTGTTTTTGTTATTTATGTGTTTCATTTATTTGTAAATTACGTGGCGAATGATGATTTATGTTTTCATGTTATTTTTTTTAAATGTTTTTGAATGAGGCGTATTTTTTTCATTTTTTTTTTAAAATTTACAATTTTGTCATTTTCTTATTCACTCACATTTTTTATTTTACATTTAAAAAAAAATGGATTAAGCATTTCCGATCTTGTGAATTTTGGTTTTTCAGAGTGCGGCACGTCACCAACTGGAAGGGGGTATATCCCCGTGTACACACATACATATTGTACATGATAATATATTTCAATACAGTCTGTTCCACGTGTGTCATTAGTAATGTTACAACCCTACGGAAATTAGGTCGACTATTATATATTTCCTAACATCCCGTTATTACGCATGTAACATAATTTGTCGCATATGCGAAGGCGCACCAATGCCATATCCGGGTCCTCATTCCCAACCATTAAACTATCCTCGTCATGTTCAACTTCTGGTATGGCATTTACTATTGTCATAGCCTCTTCCTCGTCACAGATTGGGTGAACAGTTGTTGGGTTACCTGTGTTGCGCCGTATATAATTATGTAATGCCATTGACGCACCTACTAACTGAACTTGCACATTTGCAAAGTCATACCGAGGCATGTCTCGAATAAACCCCCATCGATTTTTCCAGGTACCGAAAGTGCGTTCCACGACACTGCGTAAGGACGAGTGGACTTTGTTAAATAATTCCCTTGGCGTGTTTGCCATCGCGTTTCTTGCAATACGCCGGAATTCTTGTTGGTGGTAACGGTGGCCTTTGAATGGTGCTAAGTAACCAATCCGGTTTGCATAGCCAGAATCGACAAGATAATATTTGCCTGCAGACATGACGACAATGTATGACACCAAAACCAACATTCTGCGTCATTTTCATATAACGCTTTGTCAGCAAATAAATATTTGTTAACAAATCTAATAACATGGCCATGTGTTACCTTCGTCAGGATGTGGGAATGGGACATTGTCATTAGTTAGTATCTCGTTGAATATGCGACTATCATGCATACTTCCTTCCCATCCGCAAGAAATGAATATGAAACACATGTCAAAATCGACAGCGGCCATTATATTTTGTGTGTGACAGTATTTCCTACCGAAATATGTTGCCGCATCTGGCCCCGTAACCCATGCACTGACATGTGTTCCGTCTATTGCGCCAATGCAGTCCTGTCAACATGGATCATATGTTTTGAGTCGTAACTTTGTAACAAGTGTTTCAAATTTGTCACGTGCAGTTAATAACAAAAAACATATATATTTTCTTCACTTATATGTCAATCATGTTTTGCTGAAGTACCTTGAACGGTAGGTATTTCCGTCTAGACCTCACGTATGGATGTATACGATGCTGACTGTATATGGGCCGGCAATGAACAACAGTGAACTCTTTCATGGAAGTTAATACACGCTTTCTTCAACAGCTAAACCATGTGGACGTTGCGGGACTTGTAACCCAAAATCATTTACTAATGTTTCACACAGGGCGACAAAAATTTCCTTCGGCATGGACATGTTTTCCTTAAATCGGCCCATATGGCCAGCATATAGTTCGGATATCCATGCATTCCCGGTCAGTATAGAAGTGCGACATGGCGTTTTAGCCATGTGTTTTTGGTACCACTCTGTCGCATACTGGCATGCTTGTAGAAATGTGCAGTTGTGTTCTTGTTGCACCTGGACTGCCATTTGATTAAGCATTTCCATTATTCCGTCGTTGTAACTTCCATCCCAGGGAATCATTACGTCTTCGTTGATGTGAAACCTACAAGAGTGGCACTGTTTCAATCAGTTTGCTTCCCCTTCATCGAGTCAATTAATTTCAAAATTTGCAATACTAAAAATTCAATATGTTCACAACCCAATTTACGGACTGCCGTCACAAATGTATTTTTTAACGCATAATGATATGAAAAATGGGAAAATTGTGAACCTGCTAAACTTTTGTGATACAGGGCGACCATGGTGGTGACAACCACAAAAGTTGAACAGAAGATATGAAACTAACATCGTACTTTGGAAAATATAAACGTACACAAAGCTAGCAAGGAAATCCGTTGTACCCAATTCTACAAAATATCCATACATTTAATTTGAATAGAAACATCTCATTCATGTCTCACAAAGCGTGCACACACAACCATCCTATTTCATAACAGCATCCCATTCATGTCCCATTCATATCCATACCTAAAAGTTTTGGAAACCATACGTTGCAAGAAAAAACATAAACGACGGAAAGATAAAAAAAAATGCACACACAACCTTTTAATACAGTGCCAACAAAAAACATAAGTAAAAGTTTATAGAATGCAAGAGAAGGAAAGGCATATTCAACACTCGTAACAGCGCTACATCACATCCGGCGAGGCCCGAACAGATTTGCAAAAGGCGCCGACGTAGTGCACTGGAGCTGCTTCTGGGTAAGCCACCCTATGATAGAGTCGTCATCAGGCTGGCACATCATCACCTCCCATAAATCGGCGTTATCCATAAGTGATGTGGCGAAGTGGAATATGGGCGTACCAACCAGCGATGTAATACCTGTCAGGCGATGCACGGACTCTGAAATAGTAAAAAGTGATTCGTTGCCTGTGATGTGCCTCACTATAACCTGCTGATTCTTTGTACGCACCACATCTGTCAGAGTGTTCATGCTTTCCGCAATAATTGACGCTCCACTTGTTGCCTTCTTGGACTTTGAAACACTGCTTGATGGCGTCTTTCTCTTTTTCCCCTTTTCGATCGGAACATGCTCCAGTGAAGAATCTGAATCCACGTCCTGTACTCCTGCGGGTATCGGATCAGCAAATGGCTGGGCCCCCAAACTGTGCACTGACTCAGATGAGTCCTCAGCAACTTCAGGAAGTTCCTCACCCGGGGTCCAATGGTGCTTCCCAGTAGCTGATGCCCCCATGAAGACGGTCTCCATCAAGTCACGATGTTCCAAGGTTTTTTTCCTAAACTTGGCACACACCTTGTTTATCTGTTCAAATAGAGATATATGAAAGAGAATGATGTTACATTTCATATAATTAATAAAAATTTAACTACAAAAGTTAAAAATGTACTGGTAAATGACACATATGAAATATAAGAGTACATGTACTTACCGATTCCATTTTGTCCCACCACTCCTCAGGTGCCTGAAACATGCCGGTGTCACAGTCAAACCCTATCCCTGACACTCTTTTGCTTGAATCCATCAACTTTGTCCACGCTTGCCACTCTTTTTTCAAACGCATGTACTTATTCTTCAACTATTTGAGTGCATGTTTTCTTCCTGTTTTTCTCTCAAATTTTCTTGCCAAAGACTTGTACCCTGCTTGGCTGAGGACTAGGAATAGGTGATTGCCTTTAGTTATCTCATTCGCAATCAATTGCAGGAAAACTCGGGTTGAGGCACTGTCCCATGTGGCCTTGTGGCTTAAATGATTGTGTGTATCTTCAAGATTGCTTGACTTGTCAGTGACAACGCCTTTGCTTTTGGATTGGGTATGCGGAGAAGTACGTATGGAAGCCATTACTAATGTTCGGTTACAAAAGATTACCATCACACATACGGTTGTTATATACAAACTCATAAGCCATTACACATTAATAACACAGAAACAGAAAGATAAGATGCTAAATAATGCAGCACTTAACCATTGCACCTTAATTTTATACTACCAAAAGTTCCATAGAAGTTAGTATTGCACATAGTTATGATAGTCATTAATACGTCTACCGTTTCGAAACTACCAACATAGTAACGTGTTCGTACATACTATTGTACATACTACCAATAAACAACCAACATAGTAACGTGTTTGTACATACTAAAACATTTTTTAACGTTGCTTACATACGGAACAACAAAACGACAACGACAATGCATAGCACATACACGATGGTCTTAAGGACAAGGAAGGATTGTTGAATGTTTATGACATCAACCCACAATTGCATGACAAATTCATCCCTGGGTGACGCATAGTCTTGGTTTTCTCGCCTGGGTTCATCGTACCAACCAATCCAACTGACACAGGGCTGATGAGTGCAAATTATGGAACTATTAGTTTCATGGGTTGTTAACGAAGGACAGTTTTGACCTAAAAGAATGGGTCACTCACCAAAAGGCGGGGGCGTGCAAAGTAGGGACGCCCTGGATTTTTGGTGGACCTAGAAATCTTAACAACACAGGGTCCATGTCCACAGGCACACATTCGTGGCCATGTACTGGAAGTTGCAGTAGAGGTAAACGAAGCCATGCTATGATTTACAAACAATAGCGTAATTTTTTTTAAATGTACATGAATGAACAACGAAACGTACAAATCTTAACAAAAAAAAAAGTTTTTGATTCCGATCATGGACACTTATTATTACTAGACTGGTAAAATATGTCAAATTATTTTCAGTTGGTTGACTTAAGTGTTTGACAATACTAAAAAAATATATATAACATGCAAGATTGTACTTATTTTTAACATTGCAGATGAAAGTATATCACAATTGACATGCACATGAAAAATGGACATACTTGTTTGGTAAAAATATTTCGTAACTAGAAAAAGTGATTTCGTTTTTCCTCAATAGGTATTTCACAGAATCAGACATGCATTCGCAGTGGTCATTGACAATACCAATATCAACTGGGTAGAGACAAGCTGCTGAATTTATGTATACATTAATTTGATAACTCAGAATTCATTCATGTACTGAATTCGTAACATTCGACATGCATTCACAAGAATCAGAGTGTTTCATCACATTGTTTTACCATAATCAAAAATGCATTGACAACAATCAGAGTGTTTCGTCAGAGTGTTTTACCATAATTAGAAATGCATTGACAAAACCGTAAGTGCATTCACAGTGCTCATTCAGAATTAATATTAAAATGAGAAACATATTCACTTGGGGAGTAAACTTGTGTAATATTGTAATTTTATTGTGTAATATATATAACTAAAGTACTAATTTTATTGTGTAATTTTGTCTTAACATTGTTCGTAAACATTATCTTCGTAAATTACAATTTATGAATGAGTATATATATATTTTTAAAATATTAACAAATTTATTAGTGTATCTGAATATAATTAGAAAAATGTAAATTACAATGTGACTATTTACTTAAGAACAGAATCTGAAAAAAAAAAAAAAAAATTATTTATACGAAATTTTTTATTCATTAAGAACAGAATACGAAATTTTTTATTCATTAAGAATAGAATCTGAAATAATTTATTCATTAAGAACAGAATCTGAAAAAAAAATAATTTACTTACAGAAAAATGTTAATTAATAAAGAACAAATATTTATTTATACGAAATTTTTTTGTTACCATTTATTCATTAAAATTTTTTGTTAATTTACAGAAAAATGTATATTAATTTTAATTTTTTTTTGTTCGTTAATTAATTTTTGTACTTATCAGAAAAATATCAAATTGTAAGTATTTATTTACTTGGTGAAAATGTAAACATAATTTTATAATATGTATAAATGAAGAACAGATTTTGGGGAGGAAAAATATGGAAGAATCAACCATGTTTGAGGGATATATGGTTTTGTTTTGCCCAAAGTTGGAGTCTCATAACAACTGAAACAACAAATTTCGAACTGTAGCTTAAAAATTAACAAGGAAAAAATGTCAATATCCCCAGATCGGCAAATCTACAACGACATACCATCAATACAGGCCAAAATACAGTGCGATTTGAAGTGGGGGAAGGAAAAAAGTAGAAAAAAATTAAAATCATTCCATTCATGAAGCATTGGGCATTAAGATCTACGAAATCAGAATGGGTTTGGAAGAGTTACCAGTTAATCGGTGGTGTATCGAACAGGGTTCGGTCTTGTTCTCCGCCGCCAGAAGCCTACTCCGGTGCCGATCGCCTCTGCAAAGCCGTATTTTGATGGCGTCGCCGGTGGTTGGGAGAGATCGCCTCGCTCGCTTCTTCTGTGCCCTAGGACCGTTGGGTTGTGTTGTGTGTGTGTGTGGTGGGGCGTTGGACGACATGAAGGAAGGAAAGAGATGTGAGGGTATTTTGGTCAATTTACCTGTAGAAGGGTTCCTCTCTAACCCTAGCAAGCGTGTTTTGTCGCATGTGGCTACATGAGATTGTTTTGTCGCATGTGGTTCATATAGCTGTTGAGCCCTTCCCAAATAGACGCTTAGACTCGTCACTCCCCAAATACACCACAGCCTCGGCCACATCTTCTACTTCCAATCTCACTCCTTTCAAGTTGGCCGACTCGCAAACCAGCTCTTCCACCTCCTCCTCCTTCATCCCCAGCCCATTTATCAGAATCGGCGTGTTCATAGCGTGCGGAGAAATACAATTCACTCTTATCCCATCCTTCCCGAGCTCCACACACAAGTTCTTCGCCAGCCCCACCACGGCGTTCTTCGACGCCGTGTAAGGGTGAGGAATCGATCCATAAATCGCAGAAACCGCGCTCGCTGTGAACACAATGCTGCCTTTTTTGTTTGGAATCATTGCTCTGGCGGCATGTTTTGCACAGTAGAAAGCATCGAAGACGTTGACGTCGAAGACTCGCTTGAGATCTTGGGAATCGAGGGATTTGATTGTGCGATCGAACTTGCCGCCGATCCCGGCATTGCTGAACATGATGTCGAGTTTGCCGTGTTTGGCGATGGCGGTGTCCACTGCGTGTTCCACGTCGCGCTCGTTGCTCACGTCGTAGTGTACGAAAGAAACGGATTCGGTGGAGGTGGAGGAGATGACGGTGTTTTGGATATCCGCGATTATGACCTTGACGTCGTGCTGTACGAAATGCCTAGCGGTCGCCTCGCCAATGCCGCTGGCGCCGCCAGTTATCACCACCACTTTACCTTCTAGCCTACAAAATTATCGGGATGAAAAATGATACAGAAGTCTATTTTTTAAATTTATTCTTATGGCTCATTGATATGTTAAAAAAATTATTAATTATTAATTGGAGGCGTTATTTTAGATATGTTAATTAATTTTTAATTTGAAAGAACACTAACCATTAAAAATATGATGAAATTAAAATATATATATATATATATATATATTTTAAGCTTGTTGTGAGATCAAATAGATAGAGAGAAATTTTCTTTTGGTTGTGGAGAGGCATTGATGGGTTGGTTACCTCTTGGCAATGGGAGATAGCAAGGAAGAGGCTTTCAATAGATCTGGCATGATGTTTCCACTGTGGATGAGAGTACTTGAGCTGTGAAAACTTTGTATTTAGAACACAATCAAGGGATGGGTCCAATATATAGAGAAAAATTATCTGGTGATCTGGGAACAAATTTATAACGCGTCTTACTTTAGGGGTTGTTTGGAATTGTCTAAACCTATGTTTGGAAAGAAGGTTTTGTGGCTTTTTTGGCTAAAATAGTCACAAAAAACAAAATAGACTTTTTAGTCTAATAAGATAAAATATCACATCCAATCCATAATCATTACATTATTTCCCTAAAAAAAAAAAACAAAAAATTCAAAAAAATCAAAAGCCCCTCCCAAACTAGGCTTTTTAGTCCCAGGCTAAAATAGCCAAAAAAGTCAAAAAACTAAAAAGCCAACCCACTTTCCAAACGAAGCCTAAATAAGTGTACTTTTTGACTTTTTATGAAATATGGGTTGAGTTTGAGTTGGGTTTGAAGTGATGTGTTAGAGAAGTGATGTGACTTAAATAAGATGATGTGACTTAAATAGAATAGTGACTTTTTGACTTTTTTTTAAACATGCCAAACCAACCCTTAATATTTGTTTATTAAAATTGTAGGATTTAGGCCTCGTTTGGAAGCCCTCCTTTTTAGCCAAAAAGTCAAAAAGTTATTAAATTAGCTAAAAAGCCAACAACCTATACCAAAAAATCAAAGATTCTCTTTTCTCTCTATTTTTTGCACATCTTTTCGTAAAAAGTCAAAAAGTCATTCCAAATATATTAGTTTTTTTTAGCTCATATTTTAGCCAAATAGCCAAAAGTTTACTAAATTATCCTGTTCCCAAACGAGGCCTTAATATTTTTTATTAAGATTTTAAAAAATAATTCAACAAGCATGAAATAATAAGTGGTGTGAAATATGCTCCAAAACTACTAAATAATCACTCTATATATATAGGATCATATTTCACGTTTGGCAATTGATTAATATAGTTAAAAATTCAAAAATTCATTAAAAATGTCAAAAAACCAAAATATCATACGAAAAATTCATAAATTTCTTTCAATCCTCTTTATTCTTTTACACATTTTTTTTGGTAAAAAGTATAAAAAAATAATTAAAAAAAAAATCAAAACACTTCAATTTTTTTTCACCTCTTATTTTAATCAAATAATCAAAATATTACCAAAAAAGTCATTTCCCAAACCTACCCAAAGAGCAATCTTTGATGACAAGCCTATAATTAGTTTGTGTTGTGCAGATTATTGATGAAATATGACACCATGTAAGAAATGAATTTGAACCTTCGATTACTATTTATGGGTAAAACTCAAGAAATTCTTAGTAAGGTGCACTAATCATGAAAAGGTGTCAAGAAAGTTACTATGAAAGGATATGTGTAGTTGAAATTTGATTAGTGTATTATGGGGTCTATGTATACGAAACGTACATTGATGATTTCAGATAAAATTTTGAAAAAAAAAAATTTCACAATTTGTAGTGTTACTAAATTTTTATATAAACAGACTAGTAACCCTCTAATAAAATTTCTACACCTTGTTTGAAAAAAAATAAAATAAAACAAAACAAGCCACAAAATGATTCTGAATTTGTAATGGAAGGTATATATTTAAAATTGAAACTTGGCCTTTAATTTTTTTTTTTTTTTTAAAACTATGAATTCATGATATGAATAAATCTTAATTTATTATTATATTTTGAACACTTTTCTAGTTTATTTTTCTCAACAACAATGCTGTGTGAGTGATTTTCTGACCACACTGCCAACTCAGTAATCAGCTGAAGAGAACTGGCAGAATAGATGGCACATGGGGCACTCCGACGATCAAGTCAGTATATCTCTCAAAGATAATCGATAGTGCTAAAGTCACTGTTCAGAATATAAATTGCGTACCTTAGACCCATCGGGGGTGCCTCTCTTTTATAGTTAACTCAATTCTAGTCCCACTAGAAGCCTAGTTTCATTGGACTCTTGCTCAGTGCTCATCCTGGACTCTCCAAGAGATAAAGATAAACTCCGTAAGAGTGTTATTCGTATCCATGCTAAAGTCCTTCCTCATTCTAGGACTTTTTGTGCCTTATTCGCTTATCTCAGATTCCGGTATCTTCGCAGATAACCTCGGCCTAACCGAGATAACCTCGGCGTTATAACCTGGACACGTGGCACCTCGGCTAACATGTCAGCGTCACCTTGGCCACGTGTTGGGACTCATAAAATATATCCCCACAACTACCCCCTTGGTTCTATTACCTCAACATTCTGAGGTAATAAAACCTATATCGGTACTTCCTGCCAGTACATCGGCGTAAGCCGAGATCATAATCATAGGCCGACATGTCTTCTTAAAGATCAAGATTTCCAAGAACTTCTTCACGCGTATGAGCTGTTATGCATCACAATTCAACCGTTTCAGCTACGTGTCCTTCTCTTGCTAGTTCGTACCTGTGACGCGCCTATAGGCCGTCTCATTCCCACGTGCGCCGTCTGACGCATACATTCTTCTAGGCATATTAATGACTCCTTTGCTGCCGTTTTCGCGTTTTAACAAAAATAATTTCCCCCTCTTCCATTTTTTTCACTTTTTCTATCATTTCTGAAATTTTCTCTCTCCCTAGCTTTCTTCGTCTGACCCGCCATTGCTCAAGCTCTCTTAGCTCTGTAACTTTGCTTCATTTACCACCTCCGGCGTGATTTTCACCGGTCTTCCGTCTTTGCAACCATCGTCCATTGTGTATGCCTTCATGCCTTAGCTTGCGAGCCATCATTTCAGTGCTTATTTGGGGTTATTTTGCCATGATATAACTCTAATGTTTGTTGGTTAAGTCATCTCATGCTTGGTCTTAATAGGTGTAGTGTAATCCACCTTATTTGCCTTGTTTGCACCATGCCTTACGCCCTTCATGATAGCTTGTTTTGGCTTCCTTTCATGCATGTTTTAGACTCATTTTGACATGTTCTAGGATTGTTTTGGGTTGTTGTTGCCATATGCATCATGCTTTGTATAGCTGTAGTGCAATTGGCCTTGCTAGCTTTGTGTTTTGTTGACTCATGCATGCTATCTTGAAGCTATTTAGATGGTTTGGCATCATTTAATACTTGATTTCAAAGCTCATAGCATGACTATATTCCCACTTCTTTCATGTTTTAAATGCCTTTGAGTATTGTGCATTGTACCCATAAGCCATAACTATTTATCTCTGGTTTCTTAATAATAAACTTTTCTTTATATTATTTATTTATTTTTAAATTACACGTGACGTTGCATCAAGCGACAACGTTTCTCCAGCTTCAATTATATTGTCTCATCTCTCTCTATTCTTCTTCCTAGCAGTGACTTCATGATTTTTCTTTTTTGAGATCAATAAAAATCTTAACAAATTTTATAAAGAAAGTATTCACTCTCATGAATATATATTTTCAATAATTTGACAAAACCAATTTTATATAATGAATACAGTTGGTTTAAACCTTCTGTATTTATTATATAAAATTGGTTTTGTATATTAAAAACAACAATGTTAGAGGGTCACAATTTTTGTGGCCACAATAGCTCAAAACTGTCAAAACGACGTCGTTTTGGGTGCAAAACACGCCAAAACGACGTCGTTTTGACAATTTTGAGCCATTGTGGCCACAAAAATTGTGGCCCTCAAACATTTTCCTATTAAAAATGTGAATAGACACATCATATAAAATTTGTATATTAAAAACCAATCTCATGAATACATAGACACAACATAGATTAAGATGTAGAAGGTCTATATATTAAAAACCAATCTATGTTGTGTCTATGTATCAAATCTCATTTTTGTGCTTCAAAAGTGTAGATTTGCCATACTTTTGTACACAAACACACACTCAAACACCTTGCTTGTGTTGCTGGGGCTTCTTGAGGTTGTTCTTGAAGTTCTTGGGCTGGTTTGAGCTCAAAGAGGTTGTTGGAGTTGTAGTAGTAAAGAAGGTCTTCAAGGATGAGTCTTTAATCCTTAAATCCCCCATTCTTGCTTAAGCTTTTAGCCATTCTTGCTTAAGCTTTTAGCCTTTCTTGCATACTTTTTTAAGCTTAACTCTTAACTGGAAAAAGTTCTGTTTTGTGTGCTTAAAAAGTTTGTTTAAGGTCACTTTTTCGTTGGGGGTGATCTACTCCCTCTTAGGCCTTGTTAGGCCTTATTTTGAGTCATCTCTTTAGGCTCTTGTTGTTGCCTTTGCATGACCTTTCTACCACTGAAATCCAAAGGATTTTCAGTGGCGGAAAGGTGGTTTTAGAATCCTAAATAGGAGAGGGTCATCTCCTCTCCTTGTATCTTGTTTACGTACTTCATGTGCCTCATGTGTAAGCATCTTTGTTAAGCTTATATTGGCCATATCTTAGTTTGTATTTGTGGTTATTTTGCTGGGGGTTACCACTGTTTTTGCTTGGTTTAGTCATCCCTTGCATGCATAATACACTTGTAGTGTAAATCATACACACTAGTCTTGTATGCTTCATGAAGTAGCATGTCATTCTAGCTTATGTTGACTCCATTTCAGCATGTTCTTGGGCTTGTTTTACCATGTCATACCTCTGTTAAGGTTTGCTTTGGTCACCCTTTGCATGCTCCATGCACTTGTGGTGCATTTCCATGAAATAGCCTAACATGCATCATGTTGTAACATGTCATTCTAGAATACTTTTGGCTTAACTTCATGAAACTTTTGTCCATGTTTTAACATGTTTTAGCTCTGATTTTGGTTGTTTTGGCCATGCATGACTTTCTTTGTATAGGCATAGTTCAATCTAGCTTGTTAGCTTTGTGCATCAAGTCAATTGGCATGCTTTACTTGGATTATTTGAATGATTTGGCATCATTTATTATATGATTTCAGTTCATGTTTCATGCTCATGCACTTGCATTTATCACTCATTCAATGCGTTGGAAGGTTGGCCCCTTTATGCCTTAACATGAACCACTGTGTATGCCTTCATGCCTTAGCTTACGAGCTATCATTTCAGTGCTTATTTAGGGTTATTATGCCATGATATAACTCTGATTTTTATTGGTTAAGTCATCCCATGCTTGGTCTTAATAAGTGTAGTGTAATCCACCTTATTTGTCTTGTATGTATTATTCCTTATGCCCTTCATATTAGCTTGTTTTGACTTCCTTCCATACATGTTTTAGTATCATTTTGACATGTTCTAGGACTGTTTTGGGTTGCCTTTGCCATATGCTTCATGCTTTGTATAGCTGTAGTGCAATTAGCCTTACTAGCTTTGTGTTTTGATGACTCATGCATGCTATCTTTGAGCTATTTAGATGATTTGATATCATTTAATACTTCATTTCAGAGCTTATAGCATGACTATATTCACACTTCTTTCATGTTTTAAATGCCTTTGAGTATTGTGCATTGTTGCCTTATTGTGGCCTAGTGTGTGTGCTTGCATGCCTAGGTCTTTGAGCCTCCATCTTAGCATGTTTTGGTCATTGTTTTGACTTATTTTAGCTCTGTCCATGGTTGGTTCATGCATATTTGCCATGTATTACATGCTTCCTTTGTAGTCCTCTTTATGAGCTTTCATGCTTTAGGACCTTTGCATGCTATACTTGTGTTTGATTGAATGATTTTGCATCATTTCTTGTCTGATTTTAGTGCACTTAGTGTTGTTACACTTCCATTTTTATCACTCCTTAAGCCTTCTTGAGAGTTGTGCTCTTAGGCCTAGTTGGTTGGCCAATGCATTATGCGTGCATACCTTGCCTTTTATGCCTTTATTTTTGTGTTATGGCCACTAATTTGAGCATGGCTGAGGCCTATCCATTTTCGTTTAAGTCCATTGTGCATTGCGTATGCCATGTTGTTTGCATGATTAATTTAGTATTGTGTATGCCATGTTCATTGCATTGTGTATACTAGTTACCATTTGCATTGCGTATGCTAGTTGTCATGAGCATTGTGTATGCCATGTAGTTCATAGCATTGTGTATGCTAGTATGCTAATTGCATGTTTGCACATTTGTCCCTTGCATGTTTGCATGCTTAAGTTGCATTGCATTGAGTTGCACGGTTGAGTCGCATTGTGCATGCCATGTTTATGTTGCATTGTGTTTGGAATAGGTGTTAGTCCAAACACGGGAAAAGAGAGACGTTTCATACTTGAAGTGATGAAATATGCCTTAATTCCCGGTCGCAGACGCTCTTGATCATACATGATAGAGTTCTAGGCTTTATGTGTTTACTTGTGCATTCATTTTTTATATTGAATTGTGCAACTTCGCCTCTCGGCCATCACACATTGAAATGTGCAATTGATGGCCCGAGGGTCGAGAACTACACTCCATTGAGTTCATGACATGATAGGGAGGGTGGTTGTGCACACATATCTTGCAAATACATTGTCATGCCCTTTCTTGCTCTCTGTTGCAGCAAATTGTAGTTTAGTAGCAACAATTGGTCGGCCAGCCAAAAAAACTAGCTGGCCGACCACTTTTTCTAGCTTTTAACAAAGATAGGTGGTCGGCCATGGCTACAGACACCAACAACTGGTTGGCCACCCTCCCACAGGTCCCCAAAGTGGAGTTTCAGCTTTCTGGAGCTTTGTGCAAGGTTCTGAGGACAATTGCAAGCAGAGGCAAATCGGGGCATTGCATTGGATTTCCGAACAAAGCGACCGAGCATGCATCCAGTCTTCTCCCTCTGAGGACCTCCTGCTTTTATTGCTTTCCGTAGCTGTCATGCTTAGATAGCTAGCATTTGCTTTGGTTTGTACTTTAATAGTTAATGCGTTTAGCTATTTCAATTTGTTTTGTAATAATTAGCTAACTAAGATTAGTTAATTAGTTGTGTTGTGTAATAATAAGTTTAATCAGCTTAGATAGCTATTAGCTTCTTATACGGTCTCTCCCTCGAGAGGGCGTAATGTTATAATAAGTGTGCGTGTGTGTGATGCATGTCTTCCAACCCCCATTTCTTTCTCCCTTTTACTTAACCGCTTACAATGGTTAGTTTTAGGGCATATTTCATTTAGCGTACCTTATGCTTGCATGCGTGCATCCATTCATCTGTATTGCATGCACCGGGCTCGGCGCATCATATTAACTGCATTGTATTTTCAATACATTTACTTAAATACGTGTTCAACAACATGTTATCAAGTTGCATTTCACATGACATTCTAGAGTAGCTGAGCCTATTTTAGTTGCATTCTTGCATGTGTTGCATTAGCCATCTTAACATGAACTAGGATCATGCATGATTTCTAACTAGTTCTTTGTTTTGGCTCGGAGTACACTGTGAGTGTTTACGCTTTAGCATACTGCATGTGTGTTAGTGTTGCCATGAAAGTATGCTTGCCATGATGCTAACTGCTTATTTGATATAACTGCCTGAATGCCTGTGGGTGAAGGTTGGATTGCTTGAATTGGAACAATTCATTGAAATCCTCGTCTTAGCCTACTTGCGAGTAGCAAACTTTAAATCGTTTTCAAACAAACGAGCATGAAATGTTTTGTTCCAACTTAGGCGATTTAGTCTATACTTGTATGCTGTGTTCATCACATAGTAATTCTAGATTAAAAACCAGAATAATAACATATGTTTTCAAAACAACATATTATGATTAGTAGAGGCCGATCTTTGATCAGGCGAGCGGGGGTGCTCATTTCATGACCTTCCCCCCTCGTACCCAAGTTCCCGAGCCGAGGCAACTTTGGTGATGATGGACACGTGGCCTTATGCACGAGTCAGGGTTTCCTAAATTTTCCAAAACAAAATATTTAGGTGGCGACTCTGAAATTTGACAAAGCAGTCCATGTTTGGCACTTCTTTATCAAAATCGACTTTCCAAAAACGATTTACCGGATTTGGACTCTTTGGTGAATTATCGATCTTACCATTGCACTCCG